ACCCCCCAGGGCTCTGACCATCAGCTCCCGAGGCTGATGCCCGGCCAGGGAACTCTCACACCAGGGGTGCATTTCAGCAGGAGACACAGACCACTGAGTGAAACAGCAAAGGCATTTTAAAATGCTGGTAAAGAGTCCACCTGACATACAGATGAGGTGCCAAGCTAGAGGTGACCCCCATCAGGTAATTTAAACTCTCCACCTGGGGAGCTCCCTGGTGACGTATGTTAAGGTCTCCATAGCCACTGCAACGCGAGTTCCATCCCCAGTCAGGGGGTGACCCACAGGGTGCAGCAGACCTCTCCTGTCTCCCCGCTGCTCCCCTCAGCAGTGTGTTTCAGTCCATCTGCCTGTTCTACTCCCTACTCTGTCTCTGGTGAATCCTTTCACCTCCTCCCCCCAACCACCTCAGTTCTTGTATGCATAAATAAGTAAATCTTTTAAAAAATAAACTCTCCATCTGGGCACTGTTCTCTACCCAGCTTTGACTCAATTACAGGGAAAGACCAGAGATGGATGCCAGGGCTGGTAGGATGCCAGGGAGGCTGAGGTATGTCCTCCAAAGGTGGACCCGATTTTCCTCCCCCGGGACTGTTTAGGAGGTAGCAAGCCTGAACACACAGGAAGTCCCAGGAGGCAAGGATCCTGGGGTTCTGATGAACCAAGTCACCCTGGGCCCAGCACCCTGGGTGGCCCAGGTCTCCCTCCTTCCTTGAGGAGGAGAAGAGAGGGTGGTTTCACCAACCTGACAGAGTTGGTGATTCAGCTTCAGACCTCCGACCGCCACCTCATCAAGCCTTATAGGACTCATAAAAGTGAGCCTCGGTCACCCTGGCCAGTGGTGGTGATAAGAATCCAGCCCTAGGACATTCATCCTAGCTGGGCCCTGCTCTGTGGGGCAAGGGCAGGGGGAGGGGAAGGTGGCTCCAGAGAAGGAAGCCTCAGGTAGAGCCACACTGAGACCATGGCCAGCTAATAATGGCCAGAGGCAGAGAGAGGAGCTGGATATTTTCAAACCGGTCACCTAAGTCATCGCTGAAAGCATCCTCGGCCCCAGCAGTTAGAGGTGAATCTTCAGGTTGGGAAGAGGGGCTACTTTTTATTGCTCCGGCAAGAGGGGGGCCCTGCTAACATCCACACTGCCCAGAGTATAGTGAGGTAATCTTGGTGCTCGCTGTACTCAGCTGCCACCCCTCTCTGGGGAGAGGAAGAGCTCCTTTGCCCACAGTCACACCTACTTCCCAGGGGCAGACTGCGCTCCATTCGGTGACTGCTTGACCAGTATCAGGATGGAAATGCCCGTGCCCCACTGCTGCTCAAATTAGCTTGAAGGGTCACCCCAGATTCAGGGCTCTCCAAAAATTGGGGAGGCTTTTGTTGAGGCCACACCCCAACCCAGTTCCTCATTCTGCCCACCCCTGTTTCTTTTCCTTCCCCATAGGTGTTGATCCTAATAAAGAAGACGAGCATTTTAGGTTTAGTGGGTCATTTGCTAATTTGTGCACTGTCTATTGAGTCTCTCAGCCACATTTTTTTTAAAGATTTATTTATACATACAGAATTGGGGTACAGGCCAGAGGTGCAGGGGGTGAGAGGATTCACCAGAGCCAGAGTGGGGAGCAGAACAGACAGGCTGACAGAAATACACTGCTGAGGGGAGCAGTGGGCGTGACAGGAGAGCTGCGCCCTGTGGGTCAGCTCCCTGGCTGGGGATCGAACTTGTGCTGCAGAGGCTGTGATAGCTTCATTGCGCTGTGCTTTAACCCATTGTGCCATCAGGGTTGTTTTCTCCTTATGGTTTGGCAGGTGTCTTTTCTGCGTCTAGGTGCTAGCCTTGTGTTGAGTTACTTGTCACATCTGTTGAGGCTTGGATATATTCAGGATGTCTTAATAGTACCCAAGACCAAGTGATAGGTCTTAATAAAAGCCGAAAAGCCACTCATGTGAATGTTTGAGTCTAAAAAAACTCCTTTAAGGAAAGGATGCTTGGATAAGTTAGACTATTTATGGGTATAATTGGATATAGGACAGGAATCCCAAAGAGAAGGAAACAGGACCTTAAAGGGAAACAGAATACCAGTAACATGCCTTCACCACTCGACCTAAGGTTCCTTGCCAAAAGTATCTGAGCACAACTTCTTAAATAAAGGAAATTGTAAATTAATACCCATTCATTCAGAGAGTATACAGACGCGGTATTGAAGAACCAGCCGGTTCTTGCCACTGAGGAATCCACTGTGAACGACAGAGACGAGGCTCCTTGCTTTCCGGAGATCTAGAGGGAGAGAAGCCCAACGATAGGTAAACGAAATAAAATAATTCCCGACAGCGAGCCATAAACTGACGTGGGGCGTGGAGAGCAGGTGGGGTTGCTTCGCCCGCAGCCCGGCCAGGGCCCAGGGAGGCCCCGCCCCGGCCCCGCCCCCAGCTTTGCATACGTGTCCTGATTAGCCGGGGGCGGCCGGCCCCACCCCCCGGAGCGGGTCGCTGGG